TGCACATGCTACTGAACTTCAGTCTGAAGCACATCGAGAGCTTATATGGTCGGCAAAGTTATATATTTTTGACATACGGTGGTTATTATTTGTTTTTTTTTGGTGTTTTGTAAGTAGACATACATTACATCGTCTAAATGAAAACAATAATGCGCGCGATTGAACCTGGCAAGTCACAGACGTTTTTCTTTTCCTCAGTGGCTGTGCACGTTGTTTACATACGTAAATAAAGCTTTGCTTTGAAATAAAGGTTTGCAAAAAATAATGTGAAGCATCTTGTTAATTAAAAGCTTTTGTTTTTTTTAACAATAAATAAGCAAATAAATAAGTAATTGAAATAATTTTTTTTTAAATCTAAAGACCCATGTAAAAAATGCTGAAAGATAAAAAAAGGTTCCACCTAATAAATGTAAAGGACCTTGAACAATGTAGAAAATTTTCCAATGAGTTATTGCATTAATAAATAAGTGCAAAAGACATATATAGAGAATATATATCCATCAACATATTTTTGTGATCAAGCAAAATTAATTCATGATACAGGTATTCAAAATATACACAATATGAATTTTATAACTGACAATCACTGAGTCAATTAAGTGGCCCTAATTACACCTAAAAATTCTGGTTTAAAGCTGCTTGATGTTCCATCTATTTGGGAAAACTTTCAAATATTTTTTTTATAACAGTATATGATATATTGTAAAATTTTTAGCACAATTAAAAAATTAAAAACTTGATATTTTCTATAAACCTGTAGTGTCTTCAAATGTATCAGCTTGTTATCAGAAAAGATGCATTGATGCATTTGATCATGTGCATATACATGAAAATGGTAAAAAGTGATGAAAAAATTTTAAAGTTCTGATTTTCCCTGAAATGACTGTCATTTGTGTAAACTTTGGTATTTGTTTTATTTCAGTAAGTTAAAAAAATACCATTTTTATTTCCTTGATAAGGATTATATAGACTCTCAAAAATTTCATAGCCAAAATATGTTCCGGGATCTTTGGTATCTTAGAGTTAGATTTCTTCAAGGCAATTACATACTCTAGTTTGCATGAAAATAATTGGTACTACATGTATCAGAATTTTTTTCTAAACCAAGTTTAAGAACATGTATCAGGGAGACATTTTCTTTTTCTTTAAAATAGACTTTTGCCAGAATAAATCATGTGGATTAAATTGTACATTTCCTCCACTTTTTATTTCTATTTTAATAAAAACCAAAATCAGTGAGACTGCCCCAACCTAAACATGCACACACAAAAATATAGAGTTCACTGGTTAAATAAATGGTAACTCTACAGTTTAAAATTAAGATGAATTGTCATTTTTGTAGGCAAAAGAAGGAGATCAGAGTCTTTAGAATGAGTAATTTGTAAATTGTATGGACTTGCATGTAAATCTGTTCAATAAATTACAATAAAGACTGGGCAATACAGCAAAACTCGTTTAGTACGAACACGAATATTGCAAATTTACGGATATAGCGAAGTCAATTTGGATACCCAGCTAAACAAATTTAATTGATTTCTTATACAGTTATAACAAATTACAGATATAGCGAAGTAATTTCATAGGTCCCAGTGACTTTGTAATAACCAAGTTTTACTGTAGGAATTGTACTTCTCAAACTCAAAAGTACACACTGTACATGTTTTTACCTATTAAATTAATACGTAATATGTCCTCTAGTTTACAAATTTATAAGGCCCAAGAAGCTTCTACATTCCATCCCTTCTCAAATTGTAACAGTAAGATAGGTTCATTTGATATAAGAGATAATCATATATGCCTGAATGAATACAGTAAAAAAGCTAAGATTTACTGTGAGAATTTTTTTTAATGATGGTCAAGAAAATTTTTCAAAAATGCAAATTCCTATACAATTACTCATCAACAAAGATTACTTTTTGGTCTCCAAAGATATGTTTATTTTTAAATATGAAAATGTGAATAGTTACTAAGAATACAAAGAAATTCCAGAGTGGAAATAAAATATATATTTCATTATTAGGAATAATATTTTATGTTGAAGTAAAAATTCTGGCACATTCAAAACTTGTGTAACAGGAGAGGAGAAAATGTATGGTAACTATGGTTGGACCAGGAATTGAACTCAGGAACCCTGCTTCACTAGTCTGGTGCTCTACCGAATGAGCTACCCAGGTTGATACCCATAGCACAACCATTACATACATGTATCCTTCCAAAAAGTTATTTTTATCCTTGCAGACACAACCCAAATTCTTATTAGCCCCTGACAGGACTTTCACTTACATTTCCAGAGGGGTCAATAGCATCAAATCTGTAACAAGGAAGGAGAAAATACTTGGCTGGACCATGAATAACGATTTTTTAATGCATCACTGGTCAGATGCTCTACTTACTTTAGCTTACTTGGCCCATAGTCCATGACCTATACCATTACACTTGCATAAACTTAAAAGTATTTCATAATATATTGATTGATATTATGGTACATATCTGTCAACCATCATTAACTAAAATCAATTGAAAAAAATCAAAACTGTTATTCACCAGTGACCACATTGAACGAAGTAATTTTTGAAAACCATTATAAATGACTGTTAAAGGTGCTTAAATTTCTAAAATTTAAAATACTAGTTTTCCTGTTGGCAATTATTGTTGCCAGCTAGGAATAAGACTTCTAAAATAAATGCCACATTACTTACAGAATGAGAAGTACTGTTTCTTGAAGAAAGTATGATGAATATGTTAACTTTACAAAAAACATTATGAGAAATGCATTTTCTTCATAAAAGCAAAATATAAACAAAAGATTTGAGAATTACTTGAGTATATTTAGGGCTGTTAGATACCAGTCATTAGAAAATAAGACCTCTGTAACTTAGTGTAAATATTATTTTATTTTTATTTTTTAAAAATTATTTAACATATTGACTGCTTTAATTTGAAAATGAATACTAGTAACAGCCATTAGTTCATTATTGTGCGAACTTGCTCCAAGATTTCCCAACCTCGAAAACTGCATATTCTTTGAGGATCATACTTTCTTATTGCCAATATTTCATAAAATAATCACTGGTTATATATTTATAGGCTAATTGAATCTTCAATTTATACTCTTTTTAGTTGAAATCTGAAAAAAAATCCATTAACTTAATTAAAATCAGAATTCACTTAAACCTACATGAATATATCCCTTACTCAGATAAGTATACAATGACTTTTCACAACATAATGGTATACCGGTATATAACATTGACTTTATCATTGAGTTATTGTTTAAATAAATTTTTTTACATAATATAAAACTAAAATTGAATTTTTAAAGCAATTGAATTATTTTTTTTCATCAAAGTGCAAAATTTTCTCTGAAAAAATATGGTTAAAATGCTAAAAAGTCATTTTAAAATAAATTTTTTGAAAATTTGGTTTCCATGGCAACATAAAATATTAGATTTTTAAAAAAAAAAATATTATAGATTAAAAAACACAACATTTGCTATATATTTGCCAAATTTCAAGCAAATTGGTTGTAAACAATTTTAGATATTTGAATTTTAGTACACCATTGTGATAATTTTGTTGATATTACAAAACAACTCAGTCCTGAGGTTACAGCGCACGTAAAACAAGTCAGCACACAAAGGGTTAACATAAAAGGGCATGGGGGTTCAATATTTTATGGCCATAATATTTTGAACCCCCTCCCTTATGAATTAATAGGGCAGGGGGACTCAATATTTTATGGCCATAATATTTTGAACCCCCCTCCCTGTAAAATGAGAAGGACAGGGGAACTCAATATTTTATGGCCATAATATTTTGAACCCCGGGTTCAATATTTTATAGGGGGGTTCAATATATCGCAGCGATATTTTGAACCCGGGTTCAAAATATCGCGGGGTTCAATATATTATATGACACCGGGCTTGGTTTTTTCTCTACAAAAAGCTTGTCGATTTCCATTCCGATTAATGACATTAGGCTGAATACATATAACAATTTGTTATTCCGAAATTTTTATTTCAGTGAGTAGAAGTAGGAGGAACCCTTTAATTGATTTTCTGAGTTTATCTCCAAATGTAATAATTGATATTTGTCTTCACTTCTCATTGTGCATAATGGTAATGTCTACTGTCTCTGAAATTCTATTCTTAATGTCTAGGCTATTTTTCCGTGGAAATAATAAAACGTGTGGAAATTATATAGGCCTAAATGGAATCCAAGGGAGTACAGTTACTGATATACATTGTAATTGTAGCCAAAATCTATGTGATTAAATTCTAAGGAATATATACAATTGAAATTCAATGCAGCTCAATGCTGCCAAGAATGTCTGTATTGAATAACACAGAGTGAGTTATTCTTGTCCTCGGAGAAAGTGTGCTTATTCTTTTTGAGTTTGTTCTGCCTGCCTGACAACTGTACATTGGATTGTTACGATTAGGGCAGGGGTGCCCCTAAAAAAACCTTATCTTAAATTATTCCTTACATCCCAACCTATCAAAATATCACAATTTCATTTAGGGGCAGGCCTGCCCTGAATGACTTCCAGGCCAAAATTCATGCAAAAATCAATGCTTTAATGGACAAAATTGTGTTCTGGCCAACTTTGGAGGTTTATTGTAAAGTTGTAATTAATAAATTTGATGTATAAAATACAAATTTGAAAAATTTAGACATGTATAAGGTAGAAAACAACAAATAACGATGAATTTTTAAATGTCACTTTTTCCGGGAAGTTGTTCTCTCCTATATGTTAATTCTTTTGTCATAGAGAATACATCCTTAAAGGTGAAAAAGCTGAAGTAATCTTGTTTGACAAAGTTTTGTATGAGGTGGTCATTATCTTACACAGTCAGTAAAATATATAAAATATAAAACAGATGTAACAGACTGCTTAGCGTCTTTTGAGTTCACTAGGATACTGAATTAACAAATGAATGAGAGTAACTATCATTAATTAATTAAACATTGTCCATATATCTGAATCTAAAGGGTCTTACCTCTGCATTCTTAAACAAAGTATTCATGTCTTTATCAAAGGCTTCCAGATCTGCGTATGTCCCTGATAAGATATTTTTCTCAATGATGTGGAAATCTATGGGGTGTTCAATGACTGTGTAATATTCTGGGTGTTTCTTCTTTGATGGCAGTGCAAAAGTAGAAACAGGGTCTCTTTCTTCCTTATCTGCAAAGAAAACAAACTGTAAGTATCTGCTGCTAAACTGTACAAGGGTTGTCCCAAAATTTCAAAGACTGAGCTCATATCTTTTTAAGAAATTAATGTATCTTTACAAATTTTCAGGGTGGATAAAGGGTGTTCTTGGCAGATAAATTACGAAATTTTATCATGCTTGCTAAAAAACTATTCGAGTAATAGCATTTGAAGTGATATTGTTCTCTAACACCCAGAGCAATCTGCAACGTCAAAAAATACAAATGTCAACCGTTCAAATTTTTGGAGAAAATATTTCAATTATCTGAAACAAATTCTTAAGTTAAACGAAACGGTTATAGTTATAAATATGATATATCTTAATTACTATGATATGATCATACATTAAGATATGTAAATAGAGTATATGCATGTACAGGTATGAAATAATAATAATCTGAAAACGCTATATTTCTACAGGCTTTTCGTCTGTCTTCTCTAATAGAGTTGCACAGTGGAACTCTTGCCCAGTTCATAGCCCCGTCTTTTATTTTAGGCTACATAAAATTGAAATTCTGGTTCTCAGGGCCGCAAGTATCCGTTTTGAGGTAGCCGCATTTTAATTAATTTTATTGTATTTTTGATAAAATAAAAAGTTGGTATTGCGGATACCAATCCGGAAAAAAAATTTCCGTCCTAATTTTTTCGTACTTTAGTATTCAAATATCACTTCCAGTAGCCATTTTCAAAGAGATTTTGGCTACTTCGTTTGAAAATGCATTCAAGGACATTGCCTATGATGTTCACATGCTGATAAGCAATGGATAAAGCAGAACTTTTCATCAGACATGGAAAGTATATCTGTGATTAAAAAAATATCTTTATGTTAAAGAAAATTAGAAATTTAAAAAATACCTCCCTCATCTACTTTATTGCCAATAAAATGATAAATAAAATGCCGCCCTCCTGCATCTGTTTTGGAGAAAATTGGCCTGAGAACCAGAGAATTAAATTTAGATAGCCTTAGTTACTGTTATTCACATACATAGAGAAACCGTTTTAGTCATTTTAAATACTAAGGACGAGAAAACGTTTCCTTGTCTACCAAACATTTATGACTGGTACATTTCTGTAAGAGTGAATTCAGGATCAAAACACTTCATTATAGCCCAGTGTGCCGCCTGTGCCAATGCAGCCGCCATTTATCAAAAAGTCGGATTTCAACCCCATGTATATAAAACGTTATAAAATTCATATTTATTAAAGCATAAACACCAAAATCTGATGAATAATAGTTAATTGCACAATATAAAGAATTTTCATTTCTATTAAAAAAATGCAAGGTAGTAATTACTTTTCCGTAGGATTTTAAATATATCAAATTTTAATTGCAACTTTGGGTATTGCGCCACCTTCCTACACCAGACAATGAAATGTGTCTTTTACATTGGAATAATTTGTGAAGCTACTCCATATTTGTCCATGAATTTATTAGATAGTGTTGGTTTAATCTATGTACCAAGTTTCATTAATGTATAACATCGGGTTCCTACAAAACGCTTGTCTACGGAATTTTGGGACAACACTCATAAGTACCTGCTGTAAACATTTGAACTAAAGAATATTTGAACTAATAGACAGGCATTTTTTGCTCAGCTCCTTTTAATACCTTTGTATTCCATGACTTGCCGACAGACATTGTTAAAAACTTGGGCAAGTCTAGCAGTCTGTGTCACCTCGGTGTTTTCTTCTGCCAAGGCAAGTCGTCTGAAACATAAAAGATTAATAATCAAACATAGAAACATATACAGCATGCACAAATGCACATCAGTTTTTCTTTTCTTAAGAACTGACATTAAACCATTAAATGATGTTAATGTTCGGCCATGTACCTTGTTTTTACAGATCTAGATGTTTTAAGGGCAGTCAGTTGAGACATAAAGACATCTTTTTTGGTATACCCTGTGGCTTTCATATATTCTTCCTCCTTGTCCAGCTTTTCTGGTGCTTTACGGCTGATGTGTCTCTGTTTATCAATATTCCGCAAGAGGAAGATGGCATGAGATCTGGCAAAGTGGCGTTCCTTTTGTGACATAGGCTTCATTGTGGACAATGTGGAGGAGGCACTGCTGTCTTTTGCAGACTTCTGTAAAATAATTTGATTTATTTAAGGTTCAAATAAACCTGAGGTGATATAAATTCTACCCAATATTTGAGAGTACAGTCTTATTCTTCAAGGCATATCATGACACTTCATCATTAAAAACTTTTCATAATCATAGAAAACATGTTTTGAATGCACTCTTTATTTTAATCATATTAACAAGACCTTTTCCTTGTATTTCTTCAGTCGGTTCTTGGACTTGCGTTTATCCTTGGGTGGTCTGCCTGGACCTTTGGATTTCACTTGACCATTCACTCTCTGGGTCTTACCGCCTATCACTCCTCGACAATTCTCACTTCCACACTGACACAGTTGCTGTCAACACAAATTTTAAATATTCAAAATACATTTCAACAAAAATTGGAAAACTAAACAATCAAAAATACTTCTATGGTAGTAAATATCTCACAAGATTTAAACTTCTTTAAATAACTACAGAAGAATCCTCATACCTGAGCATCTACATTGAAGGAGTGGAAGTTATAGTCATAGGTGAGTTCTATGTTGGGTGAAATGTCCTTCAAAGCAAACAGACCCATTCTGTACACCCCATTTACATTCCTGCAGTGAAAGAAATTTTTTTTACATTAAGCTTCAGATTAACTGCCTTAAAAATCTCCTTCCACAATATATATAAACAAAGATAAATGGTATTAATTTCTATTTCCCCTTCTAGAGTTCCATTTAAACAGCATACAAAAGATAATGTCATGAATGTTTCCATGACATTTATGGAGACCAATGTCTAATCATTACCATTTCTGCATCTCACAGTTGGGTTCACATGAATGGTTAACGTATCGTCCAATGTTTCCCATCCTGTAGCCGTCAATGACGGCCCCACTGTCCAGGTTCAGGCAGTAGTGGTGACGCTCCTGGGAGTACTCCTCTGTCATCCTCCTCCTAAACTCCACCTCACTCACAACCTCACCCAGGTACTCCAGTATAAACTGACCTGTGTACAAGATAGGAACTGCATTAGATCAGAGGACAAACATGCAGCTTTCATTATTATATTCAAAGTAGCTCATCCAATTCTTAAAACAGAATGTTTCAAGAAACCTAATGCTTTAATACACCAATTTATGATCTAATCTTAGACACTCTGAGATTGACTTTTTGACAGTTTATTTCATCTTTTTTCCAAGATATTTAAGTTAAATGTCAACACTTGTCAATTTGAATTTTAAAAAAATACTTATATCATATGGTATGACACATGCTTCTTGGTGAGGCAAAATGATTTAACTCCCAAATTTATCAAAAAATCATTCTGTTTCTAAAAACATATTTAAAATCTGATTTTTAAAATATATGCCTCTAAATACAGAATTACTGTAATTACCACTTGATATAGATTCTGAAGTTTTGACTCCATATCCTCTATCCTTTGTGACTATGACTTCTAAGTCTGATACCCATTCATGTTTCTGGAAGCGCTGATTAAGACATTGATCCTGACAAGGGCAGGTACTAATGTCACACTCCGTATACATCATTCTGTAACAGGGAAAAAAATCCAACAATTATTATACATCAGTACCAACATAACTAAGAACTTCAGAATAAACACTCAAGGTTGTTATTAATTGACTAGTAATTTGCTCTGTATTAATATCTGTATTAATATTTAAGTTAAAAAGTCATCTATTCTAAAATATCAAGAACTTAACCCCACTTTGTGTTCTGAAGCACCAGATATGAATTTTAGTTAGAGGACCGACTATGGTCTTATATCTTGAACCCAGGGTCATTTTCTAATTTTTTAAAGGACTCATTGTTTATTACAATAAAAAATTTGAATGCTTGATATAAATGACTGAAATTTTGATGATTGCAGTAATTTTTTAGAGTTTGAGCCAGATCTCATAGGTTCCTTAGCTTTTGCTAATATAAGCTGGATACCAAAACAAGAGGCCCAAGGGCCTTATAGGTCACCTGAGTATCATGCAACAACTTTCCAACAAATTAAATTTGATTCATGTTTTAAACCAGAGGCCATGGAATTCTGACACAATTTTGAAAGAGGCACCATTTAAGTTTTATTTCATAATGTTGTTGATTAATACCAAAGTGCAGCTTTCAAAGTATTAAATAATTTTCAGATTATGTACCCCCCCCCCCACCCCCAAAGCACCTCTGTCCCAGGGGCCAGTAAAATAACCGTTTTTGAAAGAAGCAGCTTTCTTTGTCATAAATGTATACTAAGATCATTGGCATAATACCCAGGCAAGAAAAAAGGAAAACATTTTCAAAGAATTCATGCATTTTCATTAAATAAACATTAGACCCCACCCTAACACAAGAAGCCCTGACCCACGGGCTCTGAAATTCACAAATCTAAAGAGGCATCCTTCCTTCTCATAACTATGTACATAGTTCATTGGTTAAATATCCAGGTGTAGAAAAAAGATTTCTAGAGAATTTATGCATTTTCACTATATAATCAAAAAAGCCCCACCCTAACACCAGAACCCCTAACCCAGGGGTCATGAAATTCACAAATTTGGAAGAGGCAGCCTTATTCAACATAACTATGTACTTGGTTAGTTTATTTAATACTCAGGAGCAAAGAAGAGGATTTTCAAAGAAATAAATCATTTTTACTATATAATCTATATAGCCCCGCCCTAGCACTAGAGCCCCTGACCCTGGGGCCATGAAATTCACAATTTTAGAAGAGGCAGTCTTATTCAACATAGCTATGTACTTAGTTTATTTAATCCCCACGAACAGAGAAGAAGAATTTCAAAGAATTTTTGCATTTTCACTATATAATCTATATAGCCCCGCCCTAGCACTAGAGCCCCTGACCCTGGGGCCATGAAATTCACAATTTTGGAAGAGGCAGTCATTTACAACTCAACTATGCACTTGGTTAGTTTATTTAATGCCAAGGAGCAGAAAAGAAGAATTTCAAAGAAATAATGCATTTTCACTATATATCCTATTTAGCCCCGCCCTAGTACTAGAACCCCTGACCCTGGGGACATGAATTTCACAATTTTGGTAGAGGACTCAATGCTGATTACAATCATACTAACAGTTTGACTGCTTGATGTCCAGGAGTAAAGAAGAAGATTTTTAAAGATTGCACTAATTTTAGTGGTTTTTGCCGCACCTAGGCCCCATGGGGGCAGGGACCACAAAATTCACAATTTTTGTTCCCCTTCTCCCACAGATGCTCTATGCCAAATTTGGTTAAAATTGGTTCAGTGGTTTCAGAGAAGAAGCTGAAAATGTTCAAATGTTAACGCACGACGGACGAAGACGGACAAAAACAGATAGCAATAGAATTAATCAGTGGAAGGGTGAAAATATTTAAAAGTTTACAACTAAGACTTATTGCGAGACCAAAACAGAAAGCAAGAAGTCGGCCAACTCAGGTAACCTAAATATAACTGCAATAGTGCTGTATAAGTTCACATACCTGTTCAGACATTCCTCACCACAACCTTTCACCTCTGGGTCATAAGGTCGCTTACAGGTACATGGATGTGCTTCATCACAAATTGGCTTGACATCAACATGGATATCTGTAACATAACAAAAGTTAAAGCCTGCATATGAGGAAATTTGTAATACTTTGGAAGAACCATCTTTAACTTGTGTATATTAATCTCTGCACATTATCAATTTCATTTTGTATCTACTGTATGTAGAATAATTCCTCAAGTTCAATTAGATTCCAAGTTGCAAAATCATGAATTAATTTGTTGTAAACTTAAGATGGTTTAAAGTTAGTGCTAATTTTAGGTCTATTATTCTGTAGCAGTTTATAATTTATTTTCATTTTGTATAATTCAGCTCTAGGGTCATTTATTTTGGTATTCTATGACAGAAAAGTTTATTTTGGTTTAGACGGAAAGGTTTTGTTTTTTTTTTTTTCAAAACCTGTAGAGACTGAAACCCTTCATGATGGAAAATGTTGATTTTTTTAAAATCCCAACTTAAAAACAAATACTTAAAAAAAAAAATATCTAAGTGGCTTAGGTGCAGACAATATGTTAAAAAAAGCATTAATAAATACAATACACGGCACGGGCGTGTAAAGCTCTATTTCATGATTACGCCAACCACTCACTACCTAGTGATTGCGCTAAATTTTGAATACGTCAATATATGTACACGTACAGCACATAATTGTACAGTGACCTACTAAATCCATTAATATTGGGCTTTTTTGATCATGTAGAAGGTGTTTGAAAACAAAAAGTTTCCAGTCAAATTTGCCATAATGGATACTTTTAAAAGCAGTCACTTGACTAATGGTGTCACTCTATTTCCTCCGACTGAAATATCTTATTGAAATAAGTCCATTTAGAACAAACCTATCAACATAAATTAAATAGCAGACAGAAATTATGTGACTAATTTAATTCAAACAAAAGACCTACAGACCACAACCTTCATCCAATATTAGTCCTACTGTTTTGTATAAATATTTTTATCAATTGACCCCTTAGGCCAGGTAAGCTTAAAAGCTATTGGTCTGTACAATTCAGTTTCAGATAAACTGAAATAGATAGCCCACACAATTCACGTAATTCACTGCTGGTCATACAGAAGAATCATATCAATTTCTCCAAATAGATTTATGTTTTAATAAAAATGCAGATCTTAAGGGGTGTGTTAAAGACCAGACAGGATCTGACACATCACACCTCTACAAGACACCTCAAACTGATCCACAGAATCCTCTATAATATACTATAGACGGGATCTGACACATCACACCTCTACAAGACATCCCAAACTGATCCACAGAATCCTCTATAATATACTATAGACGGGATCTGACACATCACACCTCTACAAGACATCCCAAACTGATCCACATAATCCTCTATAATATACTATAGACGGGATCTGACACATCACACCTCTACAAGACATCTCAAACTGATCCACAGAATCCTCTATAATATATATTATAGACGGGATCTGACACATCACACCTCTACAAGACATCTCAAACTGATCTACAGAATCCTCTATAATATACTATAGACGGGATCTGACACATCACACCTCTACAAGACACCTCAAACTGATCCACAGAATCCTCTATAATATATATTATAGACGGGATCTGACACATCACACCTCTACAAGACATCTCAAACTGATCCACAGAATCCTCTATAATATACTATAGACGGGATCTGACACATCACACCTCTACAAGACATCTCAAACTGATCCACAGAATCCTCTATAATATACTATAGATGGGATCTGACACATCACACCTCTACAAGACATCCCAAACTGATCCACAGAATCCTCTATAATATACTATAGACGGGATCTGACACATCACACCTCTACAAGACATCCCAAACTGATCCACATAATCCTCTATAATATACTATAGACGGGATCTGACACATCACACCTCTACAAGACATCCCAAACTGATCCACATAATCCTCTATAATATACTATAGACGGGATCTGACACATCACACCTCTACAAGACATCCCAAACTGATCCACAGAATCCTCTATAATATACTATAGACGGGATCTGATACATCACACCTCTACAAGACATCCCAAACTGATCCACAGAATCCTCTATAATATACTATAGACGGGATCTGACACATCACACCTCTACAAGACATCTCAAACTGATCCACATAATCCTCTATAATATACTATAGACGGGATCTGACACATCACACCTCTACAAGACATCTCAAACTGATCCACAGAATTCTCTATAATATACTATAGACGGGATCTGACACATTTACACCTCTACAAGACATCCCAAACTGATCCACAGAATCCTCTATAATATACTATCATCTCAGAAACCTAGCTATTGAAACCTTTTAAATAAACCTTGTAAATATACAAGTGGTTCGAGAATGTGTCTGAATTGACATTAATTTCTTTTAAAGCTACATTCTAACAAGTTTCACCTTATTCAAAAAAAGAGGCAAAGCATGAAATAAAGGAATATTCCATTATATCTCTTGTAATATGTGAGAATCAATCTCGCTTTTATTGCTATTAAGGTTGTCTCCTGAAGAGATTCATCGCTCAGTCAGAGAGGCTAAACTTGATCATTGATCAAATATAAAACAAGATACAACTGTATTGGATACACTGGGCATTTACAGGCAATTAATGACAAAAAACCTACATGAAAATTCAATTGCCTTGGCAACCAAGATCATCAGACTCTGATTATAAGGATATAATCACCCATTACTCATGTAAGGAAGGGCAAATCCTAAGAGTTCTTCTGTATCTAACAATGCCTGCTTCACGTCAAATCACCATTTTATGACCCAAGTTAATGGCTAACCATACTAATTACAAACAGAGATCTAAATTCTTCAGCACTTAATTTTCCTCTATTTACACCTCGAAATCCTCTACTTAAGAAAAACCCGGGCTTGGGAAAGTCAAATAAGATATCATGCATCCACAATGGAATTACATGGATTAAACTGTCAGTGTAAAATGAAGCTCTTTTAGCAGTAGGTTCATTAATTATAATGTGTTGACCTTTAAGAAATTAATGTCAAAATAAATCCTCCCAGTCATCAGTGTTTTTCAACAGTGTACAAAAGATGTACTACAAGATATAAACGGATGTTCATCATCCAAATAATACTGGTAGAGTGATCTGTTTGGGTGGCAGAGGAGAGGGCTGGGGCTACCACTCTACACTTACAGAGCTAAATAACATTATTAGGTGCCATGGATAAATAAATACATCACCAAAATCCACTTTATCAAACATTGATCTTAAATATTATCTAATAGCAGCCACATTTGTCATGCAGCATTAGTCATGATACCTTAAATAATGAATGAAAACATGTGAAGCTATTCTGTTATTCAGACATAATGAGTCATTGAAACAACTTCAGCTGAATCGGACTGATGTCATAACACCAAGATGCAACTCAAAACTTGCATCCAATTTAATCACAGCTGAGACAAGTTATTTGCTTCTCCTTGCCAAATGACATATGTGGGCTTGAAATGCTGCCGTTTGTAATCCAAAACCGCTCATCTACTCCCAAACTCTTGTAAATGGATTAATTATTCAACAGCAATACTTTTTTAACCTCTTACATTTTACGTAATAATATATACATAATAATATTTCATTTGAACTACTTAATTTTTTATGTCTCCCTTTCCAACAAAACATCAGGTCATGAAATATTAATAAACTAACAATTCATTTGAAGATAAAGCCTTCATTTCTCAAACAATATAAGGTCATCATAAGCATGCATGTTTCACGGGCCATAGTGAGGAAATTAACAAGGGTCTATCATGTCATATTTTAATAGCTCTACCACAGAGTAAAACCAATTACTGGCAAATGATAATAATAAACCTCTCTCTCTAAATGCCTGTGGATAAATAATGCATGGTAAACAACAGCCAATTTTATGTGTATATTGGCCTGATGGGTGTATTCTCCTGCTAAGGTGAACTGATAACGCATCAGGTGATGACAAGATAAAAATGAAATTTTTGCAAAGATCTGTAAGGTAATCGCACCTGTTAAGTACCAGTTCCCAGCAATAGACAACAACACACAATTTATCAAGACCCCTTATTTTTCACCAGCTCTGAACACATACAATAAGAATATACATCACAGCTGATATTTATATCCACCTTCAGCCTATTATCAGAGGCAGTGCTGAGCAGATCTACAAACAACTCCTAATGAATTACATTAACCATGCCTGAACTGCTCCACTCATAAACTGTTTTTAACTTGATTTAATGTTTCTCCAGAGATCTACCATGCAATATTATATGCAGCTGTGCAGTGTACTTTTCTCAAGTAAGCAGCTGTCAAGCATGAAATCATTTCATACCAAACTTCTGCCCCACTGATAATCAGCAGTTTAGAAGGAATATTACAATCAACACGATCAAACAGCAGCGGAATTTACACTTTGTTGGCTTAACAAATGTTTCATAAACAAGTCAACCAATTGCTAATAGACATAACTACTTTCCTGTGAACCCCCTTCACCCCTACCCTACCCTATCCTTCCTCTCTACATTTCTACTTACTATTTCTGATCTTTCTATACTTTTCTTCATGACCCTCTCTCTTTGGTAACTGTAAAAAAGAAAAAAAATTATTTAGAAAAATTATTAAACTAATATAATCCTGAATAATAGGATAGATTCTTTATCAAATTATACTTAACAATTATTAGGTACAAGTTTTAATCTAGTAATATTTGAATTTGAATCCTGAATAAAATATGACATATTCAAGAACACTATTTTCAGTTTTATTTCTTATTGAACTTGCAAGCAGCAATACAGATCTGCATACCATTTCTTATTAATTAAAGCATCAGTATTTGTTAATGCATTACTATAACGCTCTTTGGTTTTATGTTTTTTAAAAGCTTTTATTAATACCAGTTTATTTATTTTTTATTTTTAATCATATACTTTTGTTTTTCTTCCCTTAACAAATTCATGCCATATAATCTATTTTCAACTTAGTCTAGTTTTATTTTCAAATTTTAGAATACAATATTTAAAAATATTTTAAAGCAAAAACAGAAATAAAAAAAATGGGCCTCCCGGGTCACACGAGTATCACAAGTTTTAATCCCACCTTGTGACCTGAAACCTAGATATTGTGCCCACTAATTTCATGAATTGTGTAAGAATTAGACTTTTTGTAACCTTGCAAACAATTTATCTGCAAGGTTTCTTGGATAAAGGAGTTTTTCGAAAGCATTTTCAATATACCCCATCCTAGGGCCTGGAGTCATGAATTTCATAGTCTTCGTAAAGGTCTCATAGGTTTATTACATTATCATGCCAACCATTTGCCCACAAGATATCCAGGAATAATGTGAACAGATTTCACTGGTTTTGGCCTCAACCTCTGGTCCAAGGGAGGCAGAGAGCAAAAAATTCATATTTCCCTCCCCTTAACTCCTACTAGATGCTATAAACCAAAATCACTAGATGCTATAAACCAAAATCAAAGATGCTAACTTTTTTTTTTAGATAAATAATGTATGGGTACAGACAAAACCAGATAGCAATAGGTCATCTCAATGACTAGGCAAATTTAAAAACCCCACATTTTTTTTTTTTAGGAAACCCAACACTTTTAATTTCATTAAAAAATTATTAAAATTTACTTAGAAATGTAACATCTATTTTAGAGCACATGCATGATAACTGAATTAGCTTTTTCAGAAAGCACAAAGCTTTATCAGTCACGCTCAAGAACTACTCCATGAAAGATGAGCATAAGTGCACTAAAAAGTACAGAAGTGTTATGTAAAATCTCTAAGCATTTGATTCTTATGTTTCTGGGTTGTTTTTTTTTTTTTTAAGTTAACTTGCTAAACTGTGCAGGGATTGGCTGGTAAAGCATACAAAGCAACAATCTGGCCTTCAGTTTGGTGAGGTGTATTTTTTTGTTACCAGATCATTGTTCAGTTGCCACCAGATATCGTACGACAGCAGAAAGTCACACTGACGTTCTCTGAGGTGTTTGCCCACATGGATGGGTGCTGGCATTAGACTACCCTGTTTTTTATACACCACCTTTTCACGACTTTTGCCTGTGCTGCCACTGGAGTGAGTCTTCCTTGTGCTGAAATAAAAGAAAACAGAAATCCTTAATTAAATCCTTCATGTGCAATTTTTAGATTTGTTTACTTTGAAGGGTCTTTTACTTTTTGGCAAAGAACTAAACATAATGCCCGAGATACTTGTTTTTCCACAAATGTGTCCTTGAGACTGACCCTGATTAACAACCTTTTCCCCCTCACTTCTTTTGAATTGAAATATTTCTGTAACTTGGTGACAAGCTGTCATTATTAACACTACAAGAAGATAATCAACCAAACAGAAACTCTTTTATGTATTCATTCAGACTAATTAAAATGAATTTTTTCAAATCGTATACTTGACCCTGTGGGTGGAGTGTAGTCTTTCTAATTAATTTCTGCAGTGTGTGTAACCATTTCTCTAAACTGTATGTCATGTTTTCACCTTTATTATACATCATCATTTTGACACAACTTCATAAATTAATCGTACCTGCCCCATACAAAAGGCAACAAAGTCTTGTTTTTTTCCAATACCATGTCATAAATAGAACGCAAATTATGACACATCATACAAAAGAATTTCTTGTCCTACTCATTAAGATTCCAAAATTAACATCAGTCAAAACTTTTCAATGATCTTTTATTTTTTCCTCTCTCTTTACCACCAGACAGCAGGAATTGCTTCAAGAAGGAAAAATAAATTCTTTAAGCTGTTATTTAATTATGGCATAAATATAGCTTTGAAGGTCGCTCAGCTCTCCTTCAATAAGTGCAGTGTTATGATCGTGACAGGATAACTCTACTGGTTGTAACCACCAGTTTTCTCTTCTTGCTCAGATTAATACATTGTACAACTACATAGATTCACTGACAGAAATAAAAAAAAAAAAGGATCACTTGTGACCATCAGGAGCTGACAGAAGTCAAATCAATGTAATATGAAGAATGGCTCATCAAACTAAAGTGCATCAGAATGCAGTCATTTGTTTAATTAATAGGGATCAGCACTTGAAGTCCTAATAGCAATTAATCAAAGGCATTATCAGTTAATATTCACCTCTAATAACAACAGACCTTTTCTGCCATTAATTGCTATTTACAGAGCAGTGCAGGATGAAAATTTCCTTGTGTTAAAAATCAATATCGGCCCATCATCCAGTTTAGCGAAAATCTATGTCCTATTTCCTTTTTTCTCAATTATGTTAGTCAAATATTGATTGGGAATAGATTCAATATTCAGACGGCCTGGTAAATAATGTTGCGATTGCATTACTGTGTTGTTTCTATCCTGCTGTGACCCAACAGGCCAGCAGATCAATATATTGTTAAAAGAATTAAATGAAATTTTTATACAACTCCCCCAAAACATCATTCATCTCCAGAAGAGTGTTAAAAGACTTGATTTAAAGCTGATCAGGACTTCAGAATCTTCACTTATGCAACATAAATGAAGACAAATTTCTTCACAGTTTAATATGGACTGGTATTGCTGTCAATTCAGAAGAAAACCCATCAAAAAATCAATATGGCTATTGAAAAGAAAGAAATTAAATGCTATTGCAGGCCTTTACTTAATCCAATGGTGAGCCAAAAAAAACTATAATTAAGCTTCGTTGATAGATACATCATCAAAATACGAGAGTCTTTGACACAACCATCAGATGTAGGAAATATTTGTTGATCCTATACTAGAAACAGGTTATTCTTAGTGCATTGCCAAGGTACATGTATACAAGCCAGAGAAATGATCAATTAATATCGGCTTCATAAATAGCGCTTATTTCACCGGATTAGGATCATTACACTACATAACTTTTATGTTCTTTAAGCATTAGCCAGTTGAAAGCAGAGTAGAGTTACAGGAAAGAAAATGTTTCATATGAAGAAAAGTCTTTATAATAAAATTAAATAAATCATCTGTCTGATATTGGTTTTCTTTCAAAATCTATTAGCTTGCATGTCTAAATTGAAAATGATGTGCCATAAAAAAGGCCATGTGGAGAAAGGAAGCTGGCATTATGTTTAAATCGATAAAAAACTTGACATTACACACTGTGAAATACAGGTAATCCAGCGATCTCTTTGTCATAGATGGCCGCTTCTGATGTTTATAGGCCTTTTTATTGTCACTCTTGGGAACTCAACAAAACTGATAAATTATTCTTGTTACCACAGGTTTTGAACAGTCAGTTTTTTACCCATAAAAATCAAAAAGGGGGTTAAGAAAAAAAAAGTTCATTTGTCTGTTATAAAAATGTTGAACAAAGGGTATGCATGAAGGAGCGTCACTTAGCAGGTGTTACAAATGGAGCAGATGTCAACTGGACCATTGGTCATATCTGAGGCCTGAGCATGAAAAAGTCGCTCCCAGTGAGGACAAAGCTTCTTTATAAAATGCCATCTATATAGCTGGGCCTTATCTTAATCTTTGATTGGGCTTTCAAAGGTTTTGAACTCTAGAAGGTTAAAAAAATGATCCCCAAAATGTCTTCCTACATTTTCAAAGAATTGTATATGCTTGTAAATAAATGACTCCAATTAAAAGTATATATGTTTATTGTGAATCATAGTGGCTTTGAATTCTATTATGAATTAATTAACATGAAATTATATCATTCAGACAACTTTCAATGATCTTGTATAATCACAACATAGTATTATTACAACTCTTGAAGCCTGTTGTATTATTACACATCCTGCAATTTTTTTAAATAGCTAACAATTATTTGAAGTGTATTAAGAGGATATAACATGCAATTGGTTAAGTGGACATAACTTGATGACCTTGTTGAATCAAGTATTATGTACACATGTAGGACAACCCATCTAATGCTAGGCAACCAGGATATGCTGAGGAATGTATTTACACAGAGATATTTACACCTGACAAGGAAACAGTTTTCCTCCTTGAGTGTCACCCCATGTAGCTATTTACACTTTATTCCACTTCCTCATTAGAAGCAATTTGCAGAAAGGGAAAAAGAGCTTTATTTAAACAGATTTAAACACACTTCCTCATATCTGCTGTTGTATTTGACACCTGAACAAATGGTAAATTCAGCTTTTTTAAATTGGAATATAAATGCTCACAGACAGGTTATGCCTACATGTTCAAGTGGAGTGTATTTGAGTACATACTGGTTACAAGGAGATTCCACACTAATTAAAGATACTACATTATTGGCTACACAGAAAATTTTTAGCACCCTGGGTCAGAGTAAACACTTTGGTATCAATGTCAGACTGCCCCACTGGCAGATGAAGGGACAGGGAATGGGAAACTAACAAGCTTGAAACCTCATCAACCTTGTCTCAGTATCCAGACCCCATTATATGGTTCACTAACGTCAGCATGCTGTCTTAACAAAATCTTGTTAAATTCCCACTGCTAGAAGTTAAATGGCCCAAACCATCAGACAAGTCAACACATCAACATTTTAAATCTCCCATCTTTTTAATTTGACACTCAGTAGTCAGTAGCTTGTGTAATCATATCATCCAATGTTAAAACCACCTACCACAAAAGAAACTGCTTTTATATGAACAATATTTTTTGATTAGGTGGGAATGCACTGGAGTTCATCAGGCATTCAACTGATGAAGTAAGTGAGAAATTTATAGCCTCCTGTCTCTTTTCTGTTGTGCAGTTTGATAGCTATCAGATTTCCCCAGATTATCCAAGAGAACACAATGAGACTTTATTTCTCTCTCTCTCTGAAGCCCTCTTATCTCTAATCAGAATACAAGGCCAAAAAAAGGTCTTGATTCAATGAATACCCTAGAACAGGTAAAAACCACTTAATGACCCAGTAAAAAGTAGCGCCAAAATCACAGGGTACAAAACATCCCATCACAAAGAAATTTTAACCAAGCAGAACGCCTAATGGCTCCAATCAATTCTTAACAAGTTCATATCACCCACACTATCCATGATATCTACACATCTAAATCAAGAAGACAAATTCTTCAACAGGGGTTCATACTTCACTCAATTATTCAAATTTTGAGTTGAATATTTTTTTTGATATGATAATTTAAAGTATGATTTTGTTCTTTCCATCTAGGATTTGTGTCACTGATCACTAATTTTTATCTTCATCTTTTAAAAAAATATATTAAGTGATCTGATTAGCGATTCCTTTTTGTAAAATTAGGAATAAATGGCAATGTGAAGTTAATGCATTAACAACACTTAGGACTGATACAATATCATGTAATTTTAATTTACCTGTCAACCATTAACTCGTTTACTTATGACGTAATGGGAAAAAATATTCAGTAAGGCAGCACTTCTCTTTTACTTTAATTGAATCAATCAATATATCAACAAACCATCCCCCCTTTGTGATAAACAGATGCATTCAATCTTAAATACCAATTTATTGACAGGATATTCTTTAATGCCTTATCATTCCCATTTTCACCACTGGGAAATGTTAAATGACTCAAAGATGAAGAAAATATTGCAAATATACATAATTCCTGCTTTCAAATTCAATTACTCTTTGGCTACCAGCTATTCAATCTTGAAATATAATACATGGCATTTAAATCTGCTTAGATGACTATCAAGTAGTCTGTGGAGGTTAAAATCCACATTTGAATGATCATTTCAGCTTTTTCAAGGAAACAGATATGGGTGTTTGTTAAGTCAATTCACACTGGGTGAGGGTGTTAGATTTTATTTGTGAGATTTTTACTAGATGACATTGTACCACATTTAAAACATTCAAAAGGTGCTGGTGTAGATTTTGGCCTCTCCAAGTCTTCATTAAGTTATTAACATTATTCGTTATCATTTATTCATTAAAAACTGGAATCTTCCATACTGTCCTTAAAATTTACATTATCAATACTGTATATTCATTGTTGCAATAAATTCTGTTTAAAAAACAAAATAAATTCAATGCAAATTTCTCTTCTGGTCGAATATAACTTCCTCCAACAAACCATTTTAAAAGGATAGATCCTGCCTCTCCAACTCACAACAAAATCTTTGTGTATCCAGATCATTTGTGTACATAAAGCAATTTTAAATTTTTCCTAGAAGTCTGAAAGAGAGTTATCAGACATTACAATTTATCTTATTTTACACTACAACTCTATGAAGTCTTCAAGAAATTGGATCCACGCCAACTTTAGGATCCGATTTTCAAATGTGAAGGAAAGTGGTCGATTAGGCGATTATCTTCCTATAATCAACTGCAATAGTGATTCTTTTACTTGCTTCCTTTACCTGTTTACAATATTGAATAATCATCACATAGGTTTATCAATATAGCTGATAATGAAGCAACCTACATTGGGTAAATATATATTAACCACAAAGGTTTAATTCTTCTTCATGATGTCAATTTGATTTCATAGATTGCAAAAAAGAACATTCCTTTTAAATATGAAGTCCTGATAAGAATGATGTGGATTTCTACCTGCCACCCCCTCTGAGATTACTTACTCTGGGTCTTCCTTGTAAGTGTCGGAGAAGAGACCAGCCTTCTGATATTTTTTCTTTGGATATCCTGTCCCATCTCTCTTGCTGCTGATGTCAGAATCAGAGGCCTCAGTGGACGTACTAGGAAGCCTGTATTAAAAAAAAAACACAAATGAATGATAAAATTCAACTTGTGTTCCATTTTATTCATTATTTTTATTGAAACTGAAGCAGAACAGAACACATATTTTTGACTCGTTTCCACCTGCAACTGCTGAAATATGAACAGACACTTTCTGAAGAGTTTTAACTTACTTAGTCTTCAAGTAATTCCTTTTTTTGTAACGTTTGGATGGCACATAGTCCTCGTCATCACTATCCAAGTAAGAAACGGAGCTATTTTTCTGTTCTTTTGATGGCAGAGGTTCATATTCTGAGCACACATTTCGTATCACAGACTCAATGGTATTAATAACACTGTCTCTATCAGCAGTCACATTATTGCACACAAGGTCCTCTTCCACAGGTTGTGGATTAAGTTTGCTGGGGGACAGTCGTGAGTGAGATTTCTTTCTGTGGACAATTTTCTCCACTTTTGGATCGTCTTCCAATGGTCTTAAACGGGGACGCCCCACTTTCCGTTTCTTTTTTCTACCTCTGAGGAGTTTTTCTTTGATTTTTGTTGCAAAGGACTTAGAGAACTGTCCTATAGCCACCTTACATGTGTCTTTTGACAAAGAACTGCCAGGCTTACGCCCTCTTTTACGATGAGCTAATTTTGAACCACACTGCAACTGAATGCAATCCACACAAGACAATTCTGAATCAGTTTGAACACTTATAGAATTAACCTGAAATCCATTCAAATTTGAATCTGTTGACACAACCAAGTTATTCTTACAGGATTTGTCTGTAGCCAATGGAATTCTAAGAGACTCACATGAATTAATTAATCCCTGAGGGTTCATATTACTTTCTCTAACATCTTTGGTAACATCATTTGAGGAGGAATTTCTGAGACATGAAGATGATACTGGCATGTTCCTTGGTGTTGCTGTATAATAGAAATTTAAATGCTCGATATAAATAAATCAAAATTTTCTCCATTATTGTAAAATTTTTTACATCGTTTTCTTATTATTTCCCCAATACTTAAGAATTAGCATACCTTCACATACGACAAGTTATCATCAATTTCCTTTATAAAATTAAATTTGAAAAACATTTCATAGTAATTTGGCTAGAGCATATATACACTTGTCTACCTTCACTGTCTCTACTTTCCAAGCTTAATTTTAATACTGGATTCTTTCTGGGCCGCCCTGGTTTACGTTTTTCTGGCTGCTGCATTGACTCCTTTCCCTCATCAGACACAGTTCTTGTTGTTGGAGGAATATCTGACAAAAACTTGTGTCTCTTCTTTGGGGGAACATTTGGAACATACTGCTGCAAATCTAGGTTGTCATCAGAATAATCCCATGGGGCTGAGAACTTCTTTTCTTTCAGACTGAACATTTTCCTATGAAATGACTTCATTTTGGACTTTTTCTCCATTATCTGAAAAGCAAAATCCCTGCGTGAAGTTTTTAACCGTTTCACTTTCTCAATTTCAAAAGGGTGCCTCGTATCCTTTTTCTTTGGTTTCACATTGATCTTGGTAAGCTTGAAGATACTTGGTAATGGAACTTCTCCTGGTTTCACTCTTATGAAGGTTTCCTCTGGTCGAGAAATGGCCAAAAGATGAAAGTTATCAATCACATATTCCATATCCGTCAAAAATCGAGGGTCAACAATGTTTCTGTGTTTGGATCGAAAGTTAATCAACTTTTCTTTTCTCTTCTTCTGTTTCTGTTGCTGTTTCATCCTATGTAGAAAATTTTTATTCCCCATGTCATCCTCTGGATCCGAATCAAGAATACTGGGTGTCAAAACATTAGGTTTACTTGTAAACCCAAATGACCTGGGACTCAGTAATCTAAACTTGGATGAGAAAGCACCATACTTGCTTGTAAACTTAGACCCCAACGACTCTGTGGGGGTGACAGTGTACTTCTTCTTCCGGCCTCTTTTGCTTTTCAAGTTGCCATGTTTTCGCATCATAACATGCAGTTTTGGTTTACGAATCTTTGGACCCTGTTTCAATTTCAACCCACTACTATGCTCATGATGAACAGAAGGCACAGGATCAAAAGAGGGTTCAATGGAATTAAGTTCATCTTCAATGGAACTCTCTGGCATTTCATCCAGAGTTGATATGCTTGGGTTCTGAAACTGTGAAGAAATAGAGCTCTGTACACTTTCAATAATGGACACAAGTTCTCTATCTTCCGTCTCTTTACCTTCATACAATAAATTTGGGACATTTACAGGTCTATCAGAATCCTCAGAATCCAAAGGTTTCAATGGCCGTTTTCTTGGTCTTCCCACTTTTCGCTTCTCTGGAGGTTTTTGTTCAGGAATTGGAGATGTTGCATGCATTTGAACAATGGGGGGTTTAAAAGAAAATGTAGAACTGTCCACACTGGATGTTGATTTAGCTGGAGAAATATCAGATAAGTTTTGCAGATAATTGTTTTGAGCCTCAGAAAGTGATGACTCGGATGATTTGGATGGTGAGATATCTGAAAGGTTAATTAAGTCTGAGTTGGCATCAATTTGAGATAAATTGTCCAAAATATTGTCGGGAAGAACCAAGTCTGATTCTTCCCTTGTAGAGTCATTTTTATTGGTATGAAGAGCAATGGATGAACTTTGAGAGGTATTTACACAACTAGAAAACACTGCGCCAGCTCTTGCTAGTATTGTTTTTTTGTTTAGGGAGCCTTTGGGTCGCCCTGGTCCTCTCTTTACAACATGTGAGGTAACTACTTTAGGTGGCCTTCCAGGACCTCTTTTTAACTTTCCTGGTGGTCGACCAGGCCCCCTTCCACTTGCCGAGATCTTTCCTCTCCCCCGACCTGGAGGACGCCCAACACTTCGCTTTTTGATTGGTTTGTCTCCCTCATGGAACTCATATACATCAAATGCTTTCTGAAGAACTTTATCATTAGGTTGTTTACGGCGAATGTATTTCCTTTTCTTTGACTTTTGTTGTTCACCTTCTGACAGAACTCTGTCTGGACATTCTGCTAGTCTCTCTTGCAAAGAAGGACCAGGTATTAATGGCACTGAAAATGGTTTGTCATCTTTATTATTTGTGTCATCAATTTGAACTGGCATTTTACCCGTAGTCAGCAATGTACTACTCTTGTGGCGTCGCAAAAATTCAGCTCTTTTTGGTACACGGCCCACACTTTTCTTCTTTGGCGAAGGCGAATGTGAAGATGTATCGCTACTACTGCAACAACCTAGAATATTATCACCCAAGTTCGTATTCACAACTAAACTATCACAGTGCAAAGGGTCCATTTCAAGCTCTTTATCATGCTTACTGTAGGATTTCTGTGAATTGACCGCAGCTTCATCATTCACAGTATCACCTATTTCATATGCAGTTGTCAAGCCACAAGAAGTTGTTTCAGCAGAATTATTTTTTTCACTTGTTTGAACATAACAAGGATCACAAGTATATCCACCTACACTGACTTTTGAACTAACACATGCAATATCGGACAATGTTCCCGATCCTGGAGATTCATTTCCGACTGGTGAATCTGCTAGAGATATACCACTGTCTGGTGACACATTTGACTGCATGTTGTCCAACCTAGCAAAGCTTTCTTGCTGGTCATGAACACTTCCTGGACGTGTGCGATCTGACATGGCATCAGATTCATCCCCACTTCTTGTGTTCCTGAAAATGAACTCATTTCCAGCCACATCTGCAGCCAGTCTTGATGCATTTATTTCACATGGACTTTCACTTTCCTTTTCTAGATCACTATTTTGAATACTTAGTTTTGATTTACTTGTCTTTGGTGTTTTTCTTTTCTTTTGTAATTTATTTTCCCCTTCAGATGATATGTTGCTCAGAGCATTGTTCATTTTCTCGAATATATTGTCATGCGAATCTTGACCAGCAGATTCAGAAATGCACATTTCATTCTGTTCTTGTTCACTTTGAGAAATGTCATCCTCCTTTTCTTTGTTAAAAAGACTGATTTTCCTCTTTTTTGATGCCAAAGATTTAGTTTTCTCTCGGATTTTGTCAAAGTTTCCAACAGCATGTCTTGCATCCGTCTTTGATGCAAACTTTTTGTAATGCCTTTTCATTGGAGAGCTATCTTTATCCAACAGAACATAGCAACTACTGGACAGTTTTTCTTTACTTCCTTGCACATTTTTATTTTTTGATGTCCTGCCTTCCTCTGACAATTGAATACCTTCATTTGAGTTTGAAGACTGTAAAAACTGGTGGAATGTGTTCTGAAATCCTTCTGATGAATTTTCCTCATGATTTCTACTGGATCCTGAAGCATCAAATTTAGATTCTTTTGTGTCTTGGTGGCAATCAGCTGTATTCAGGTCCATCTTTGACGATTTTCTTACATACTGCTCTGGGTTGGTTCTACATGATTGCTACAGTGAAAAAAAATATGTATAAAGCAATATGTACTTCAAAAAACCTACACAAACCTAAAGTTTAATTCATAAAAACATGGGTTTAAAAACTTTTTTGTTGCTAGGTTTTTTGTGTAGTTGAAATGATATTAATTGAAGAAGTGATACCAATATTGTATATACAAATGCAGTGTAATAAATCATAAATTTCCAACGACAGACTCAACAGATGTAAATGTTTACCCCTGTGTCAACAAAAACACTGTCCACTTCCTTCAGTCTGGAGCCCAGTTCTTCATCATACCCTACAGATGATGAAGATGAGCTTTTCTGTTTAGCTGAGATGGTAAGCTTTAACTGTCCTTGATTAAAATTAGTCCCTTGAACAGAGAATTCTTTTTCTGATGAGCTTGCGTTCTCACTGTCAGATGACGAATCTGCTGTGCTCGAGCGAGGCGATTCGCTGTTATATACATTGGAAATCACTCCGGGCACCTCACGGTTCATTCTCAATCACGATCCATATCATGGATCCCAACTTCAAATCTTTTTCTCTCAAATTATCTGAAACTGTAGACAACAATTTTTTCACCAATGTTACTCAATATATTACAATTACAAATAAGTAAAAACATGATGGAACACAGCTCTCTTTATATCAACGTACGATATGGTCAATGACCTGTTTAATATTTTCACTCTTTCAACAAAATTTTCTGTACTTTAAACGTCATATATGTATTGTTACACATAACCACGACTGATATAAACAACAGACACAAAACTATTCTTACCCGCCAAAAGTGCACCTGTTCAAATTTATCCGAATCTATATTATTACAACTCAATCAAATACAGACGAAACGACCATATCATAGCCCACTTACCTGTTATGTTCTATAATTAATCTAATTAGCAAGATTGATTACTCATACGATAATCAAAACATCCTCAATTCTACGCCATACCTATCGCTGATCAAATATGGCGTCTGTGGTTAACCGAAGGGGATTTCGAAAACATGACTTCACTGCAATATAATAATGTGTAAATGCATTCAGAAAAAAGCGCACAATTTTCACTTCATAAAAATTGCTTACGCTTACCCTTAGCTTCAAATTTAATGGTTTTAAATATATAAATTAGACGCAAAAAGGAAATAAAAACAAAGATGCTGATATAAAACCCTTGCGGTCAAGGTCATTTTCGAAATCGGTATTTGTACCTTTCGTGTAGAGGGTAAATTAGTGCATTAAAAATAAACTGTGAAAAATAAATGAGCTATTCCTTAAAATTTCATCTCCTAATTTACTACACATGAAAAGTTTTAAATAAAGTTATCTTTTCTATTAACGATTTATGAATAAATCTGGGGCGCACTCGATTGGAACCCTTCTTATTAGACCACAGAGATATAGTTATGTTTAGAAGGCCCTCTCAGCCATCTCATTCTGCACCAAAGAGGGAAGAATAGTATTCTAATCATGTTTGTATGGCGGGTGGTTGAATACTTTGAGGACTTTTGCTATCGTAAATAAACCAAACTGAAAGAAAAATTCAGTTGCAAAAAGTATTCCCTCTCTTATATATGTCTACGATTATATAATATATATACAATGTTAGTAGCTGCAGATCTGTAGCGTTATGGTTTTATATATTTGTCTTTGACCATAACGCTACAGATCCCGTAGTGCAAAAAAGGTGCAATTTACGGCGCAATATTTTTTGCGCTCTTTTGGGGAGAATTTCTCCACTTTCCAGCATCGTTCAATCAACTACCTTTTAATCCCTAATTCTAGACACATTATTTAATTATTCTGTATATTTTATCCATCTCCCAACCCTTCATATATATAGTTGTCTCTACAAGTGATAAACTCACTTGATTAAAATTATTTGTTAGATTTCTGAAAATTCACTTCAAACAAATTTATTGCCTGTAGAGACAACTATAAATGGTTGGGAGGTGGATAAACTATAGATATTGGCTACAGAATGTGTCTAGAATCAGGGAGTGAAAGGTAGTTGATTGACCAAAGCTAGAAATTAAGTGGAGAAATTCTCCCCAAAAGAGCGCAAAAAATATTGCGCCGTAAATTGCACTTTTTTTGCACTACGGGATCTGTAGCGTTATGGTCAAAGACAAATATATAAAACCATAACGCTACAGATCTGCAGCTACAATGTTAGAAGAATAAACATTTTTTTCCTTTCGTGTAATTGCAATAACCAACCATCGAACACAGTTTCAATTACCATGTAATAAGGGGGAAAGATTTGCCCCTATTAACATTTTAAAAAAATATAATGATATATTCTTTTACAGTTTAGAGTTTTTCCTGTGTAGTACATGGCATATGTTCTTCAATCTTAGTTTTTAGGCCAGTGATTTAAGTTTTAAAAATAATATTGAGCTTGCAGCACATATAGGAGTAACAAAGTCATCTCTTCGCCTTTTACCACTGTTTATACAGGCACGTAGCATCGTTTTTGAAAGTGGGGGGGGGGGGGGGGGCCAACCTGAGAAAATTTTTTTTAACTTACTTTTTTCAAGACCAACTATCTTTCAGTTCAAACTTTTTGGGGTAAATTTTCTTTAAAACACTACACTGTGCTGAAATGTGGGGGGGGGGGGCCCAACCTTCCTTTCAGTATACATTTTCTATAGTAAAGGTAATGCCGGGAGAAAAAGTGGGGGGCCAGGCCCCCCCTGGCCCCCCCTGATACTACGTGCCTGTTATAGGCACGTACAAGGGGGTTTTTTTTCCAGACATAACTTTTTGCTAAAGAAAATGATCTTTGAAAGTCTGGTTGGCCCCCAACTTCTTGCTGTATTATAGTCAAATAAGGAAATAAGGAAAAGGTAGCATAGTAGTAGGTTTGAGTTTTTTCCCAAGAAAGTTGAATTTTATTTCCTCCCTGCCAACCCCCCCCTCCCCCGGGTTTTAAAAATGACGTAATTGTTAAAAAACCACAGCTGCAGTAATATTGCAGATATTATGCAGTATTAAACTGCTAAATACTCTTCTGAGCACTCGATTGATCCTTCTGACATTCCCTTCTAATTCTAAAAGGGTCCATATCGAGTGCGCCCCTCATTTCATTTCAATATGGCTGCCTCCATGGTGTGATGATGGGATTGGAAACTTTTCTTTAACAAATTTGTATGAATTCATGAAAAAAAATTCCTGTAATAATTACCAACACAACAGAACATAGCCATGACTAGTGTTTTAAGGGGCACGTCAATCAAATCCAAAGGTAATGATGGTCATTTCGATTTATTACCATGTGTTTTGTTATAGCTCGAATTTACTCTGGACTGTCACTGTAACGTTATTAATCCTAATTTTCGCTAACGGATGGTCGCCCATGAGGTACAGTGGTAAGATTATCTGCTCTTAGGTCACGGAGTAAGCAGTTGATTAGTTAGAATAGTCTAACTTTGTCTCGGGACAAGCCCTCACCAAAGTTAGAATACCTCCCATATACTCGCAATGTAGCAAATAATTGCAGAATCGCTCCGAAACGATTTTGAAGAATACAAAAGGATTTGCACTGAAAATAACTTCCAAATTAATTGTAACAAACCTTTTTGAGATTGTATATGTCTTTTATCCCTAAAAATAATCCATAAAAAGACGAAAATACAACAAATTTTCTCATAGGTTTTTCTCGCTTCAAATTTACCTGCCATGTTTACATTCGGAACTCTCTGGATTGTTCGTAGTAAATGCACTGAGTACAAGTTATTGCCCGTGTTTATTTTGCTACATTGAGAATACAGGGAACAAATTCTATCGTTAAACCGGGTCCGTAGGACATTCATCATTTTAACGATAGAACATTCTATCCAGCAGTTGATCCATACATCTCAGGTGTGAATCCCACTGCAGGTCCAGTAAAATCACTAGATTTTATTGTCATCTTGATTTACCTACAAGGCTACAAAGCTTATATTTCACCTACCTGAAGTAGCTTTATTTAGCTACCAAATTAGACTAATTTCAGATATAAGTATTTTCAGAATGTGCCAAATACCTCACTTTGCAGTGATCATTTTCAACTTTGAAGTCAACTGAAAATTTATGAAAAAATCACACAAACTTGAAGAAGTATCGTTATCTGTGCGATTGCAATCAAAGTTCTGAAAGTTTTGGGGCTATATGCAACAGTTAATTTGTGATCAAACAGTTACTTCTTACAAAGAAGACTAGCTGCAATAATGTAGCCCTCTCCGATTTTTTTTTTTTTTTTTTTTTTTTTTTGGGAGAGGGCTACAACTCCCTAGGATCTCCGTAATGGTGCAATGCGGCAGTGAATCGCTCCCGCACGGATTTCGGCTCGAATTGTCTGTAAACGGCTATTTTATTTATATGCCTTACCTGAACTTCCAAAATGTAGTTAAGACATTGTGATCATCAAAAAATATACAGCAGTATTTTTCGTGTATGTCAACATACAACTTAAATTTATCCGCCATGTTTACTGACCTTGAAGATTTTATTTTGAGACAGCCAATGAGATTAGCTATAGGGAGCGGATTTCTTTGGAATAACCTTATTTTAAGCCTAAATATCGCTGTTTACGAAAAAATGACACTTGGAATTATTTTATTCATCGATGTTTAGTGTTACTATTCATCAAAATTATTTATAAACATCGACATTTGCTTTATAGAATTATTCGAAATTTCAAGCGCAAGTCTCACTACGTCACATGTGAACTGTCATGGCTGCCGAATGAAATCACACAGATTTATTTTAATGGTTTTCGCGTTTAACGAGCTATGATGTCAACAGTGAATAAAAATTTCGTCTTATTATAAGTAAGTTGAATGTAAAAACAATTTATCCGGCCTGCAGTCGCTCGTATTTAAAAAATATTTTTGCACCATTACGGAGATGCGATGGAATTGTAGCCCTCTCCAGAAAATATCAGATAAAAAAAAAAATTGGAGAGGGCTACATTATTGCAGCTAGCAATAATGTAGCCTTCTCAGATCAGGCATGGGCACGATTACTAAAAAATGTAATCGATTAATAATCCATTACTTAGAGGTATTTTGTGTAATCGATTAATAATCGATTACAGTCAGTTTTGTCCTGTAATTGATTGTAATGTAATGGATTCTTAATTGATTACTTTCAATTTTCTTCCACCCTCAAATATCAAAGCAGAAAAAAATTAGATATTTTGTAGTAATGTTGATGATATCCTCTGAAGTTTTAATATATTTACGCAGTTTGGATTTGAACCTCCATATTTAATAACTTTCACTCACAGGTACTTGTTTCGGGAATAAATTTTAACCCATAGTATAATAATAACACAAGGTATCTAACTCCAAATTACACGGAGTACCCCCCTCCCTTAGAATTGCGCTCATTTACACCTTCAGAGAAAAGGCAGTGGCAAACTGTTTATACCATCTACGATAATTTTTCTACACAACCATATATGACTTGGTTGTCTTTGTTTTTTTTAATCTCGGTAAACAGCGTCAAAACTGTACTCGCCGAGTAGAAAAGTCGAACTAAACCATAAAACGGTATGTGCTAATCTCTGGCAAAGAAAAAAACTAAAGAATGCGTGGGTTTAAAAATTCAATTCCAGATTTTAAATATTGCATTGAATAAATAAAATTTCATAGTGTCTTATTTTCCATAAAAACACTACGATGTTTTTCCGATGTAATTTTAGAGACAGATTTTTAGCCAATCAAATTCGAGGTCTAATTCTTTGCCCGAGACTAGAACATACCATACTATGGTTGAGTTTCACTTTCCACTCAGCGAGCAGAGTTTTGAAGCTGATTAGAAAATAAAGACAAGCATGTCAGGTATCGTTGTGTAGCTAAATTATCGTAGAAGACATAGGTATAATCAGTTTACCTGTGCAATTCCTCTGAAAGTGTAAATGAGCACGATTCTAAGGGAGGGGGGTACTCGGTGTAAATCGGAGTTAGATACCTTGTGTTATTATTATACTATGGGTCAAAAATTTATTACAGAAACAAGTGCCTGTGCTTTAATTTGGTTGTTGCAGAAATTATTTAATATTTTACTGCGATTTACAAGTATTTGAACATTCTGCATGTTGGCAGTATGCATGTACACAATCCGCGTTTTGATAATTTCGAAAAAAATAAATTAGAACTCTAAGCAATGAACATGTAAACTCAATGTACCTTGAAGAATAACTAATAGCACAATTTCTTTTGTTGAAATAATTGTTTTGAGAGCTATCAATTGTTCAGAAAGATTGTTTGTCTACAGTGGAGTTATTAATAATTATAAAATAGTATGAAGTTCACAGTTCACACCTCATTATCTGCAGTTAGGGATATCCCAGCCAATTAGCCAAGATGAACACAGTGACACTTAATACCCCCTCTCTTTCAAAATACAGACACTCATTGACAAAATAAGTAAAGGATGATGTGACATAACTGCTATCTGGGGCCCCTTTTTCCATGACGAATTATATTTAACAGGTCGGAGAGAATACTCGAAATCGGGTATTATCCGTGAAATCGTGTATAATACCCGATATTAGGGTATCGTTGAATCCGGGAAATCGGGTATAGGAGGTGTAATCACCTAATAAAACTTAAACAATGGGATGGCGCATGTTGCCGAGTTAACTTTCATCTAGATACCCATGTTTTCTAAAGGTATCACTAGCCAAGTAAGAATTTGGGCGTCAAGATTAATGCGCTCAGGACAACAAATACCCGTGGAGGTCAGTACATTTCATGATCTGCACACAAAAAGGCGTTCGATTTGCTTTATATTTTTCATAATGTTGAAAGTATATGCATCTTCCTAATGTTCATTCCCAACACAACAGAATGGTAAAGTATCAGAATTCGGGAATTTATAATAATTCCACATCAACACAACAAACATGAACAATTTGTAAATAAATCAAATTATACGGAAACACATTTCACACACAAGATATGATGCCATGTATAAACAAGGGATTGTCTATCGTATCTAATTATGCGTCATTAATTACTTTCACATTCATCTTGTGCATAAAATCAAATTTATTTATGAATGTATAAATAATGTAATGATAAAAATGTCTAAAATTTCGGCTAAAAAACCTCTTTCTGTTTGTTCTTTATTTGAAAATCTTTTTTTGTTTTTTATCATTCATACATATTTGCAGAATATGTCTTCAACATTTTAGCAGAGACAGTAATAGTTTCAGGAATACAGCTAATATGAGAGAACATAACTGTTGATCATTTAATTTTGCTAAGTCATCAATATTTTACCATTTCTTGGTGACTTCAAAAGGGGGGGGCTAAAGGCTTCTTGACCACTTCTGACAAAACAACCTCGACTGTGTTCTACATTTGTCCAAGAGACCTCTTTTTGAATGTCACAGTCGGTTAAACTCGGTTATATATTTTTAATTGTAAGGAAGATTTATTCATCAAATAAAAATTATATAGGTAAACAAAAAGCAACCTGTTATTTTCTAACACAATATGAGACTACAAGTAACTAGAATTCATGTTTATTTTTTTAACACATTTTTTCATTATTGATGAGTATTAGGAAAAGTTATTGCCATGAGTAATAAGTATCATAAATAAAATAACTAAAAGAAAACTGTGACATATTGTCTAGAACCAATCAGATAGTGCGTTGTATTCGCATATTATAATGAGATACATGTATAAGATAGCGATATAAGAAAAATATAGAAGGTAAAGAGGTAAAATTTACCCTGTCTATCAAATAGTATAATAAAGAAAGGAAGTGACTATAATTTTTATGAAATTTTAATGTCAGTTATGTCCAAGACACGATGTAGTTACGATATTGACACATTACTTTTTTATAGTTTACTATAATATTTCTCTATCCTTGTGTGTTTATTACTGTAACAATACTTTGTGTTTTAAGAAGTCTTTCTTACTGTCATGATTGTTCAAAGAATTATGGTTTCCATCTACAATACTAGTATTGTATTAACATGTATTACTTGAAAACTATCTTTTATAAAACTTTCCCTGTAGTGTCGATATCGACGATGTCGCTTCGATATCGAATCATGTTTGCTCAGCTCTTTATAAATACCGTCCCTGTTACTTTGCATGTGTATTTATGTTTAAATTACTTTACTTTTACGAAGATTGTACCTGCCATCGATATCATCGATATCGACGATATCGTATCGATATCGAATCATGATTGTTAAAATATATTACTTCACCAACTAGAACCTTCACCCTAATTCAA